GACCAATGACAGAGGACTACAACCAGACTGGCAATCTGAAACTAGAATGAAATAATGGGCCATGGAAAGACATGTAAGAAAAAAATATGTTCCTTTGCCCTTTGATGCAAACGACCTGAGTCTTGCCAGGAAGCCTGGATCATGAGTAACACTGTGCAGAGAAGAAGTGCTTACAGTAAAGTTTGAGTCCAGATTCAGTCCCCACTAACTAGACCATCTCGCTGAACCTCAGTCTTACCTATAAAAAGAGGTTAATGTATCACTCCTTGCTGTGGTCTAAGACGCTCAACATCAAACAAGATAAACATGAAAAAACTAGTTATTTGTGCCTCATGAATCTCCCAGAGGGAATTCTAGAGAATATTTGGGAAATGCCCGCTTTCTTCACACATGACTCAGTGTCTCACCTCCTTGAATGGATTTGTGCTTCTTCCAGATCATATACATGGACCTGTTTAATATTCTCTGAGACAGAAATACCTTTTTACTAGCCAGGCACTGATCAAGTGTCCTAGGCCCCCAAACCCCCTGCTCAACATCTTAACTTATACAGGCCATTTGTATGATAGTGAATTTTTAAAACACAAGAATAATTTTACAATTCTAGGTGGTAGTAGAGTTGGATGACGTAGAGTCCATATTATATCCTGTAAGAAAAGTCCATATTATAACATGTAAGAAAAACATGTCCATCAACCTTCCCAAACCAACTGCCAGTAGTTAGTTATAGAAGCTCATGTCCACTGACTCCTAATCCCCTACACTGTCACTCTGCATGCTTCACCTAAAAGGCATCCAAAGCAATAAAGCTGACCAAACCCAAAAACTTTGGGTCAGGTGGGAGACCTGAAACAAAGGCTGTTGTCACCCAGGGTTTCCCATAGCAGTAGGGTAGTATCTTCACAAAGAAATGGAGGTTTTCCTTTTGGCACTGTATATCACTTCTGTTCTTGATGTTAATTATATCTGTAAATAGCCAGTCTCTGGGAAAAATTTCTCTGTGGCTGACGCCCTAGGTAAAACCTCTGATCCACTAGGTGCCATGAGCTTCTTCCCTGAGATCATGCTCCTCTGGAGAAGGGTCAGTGATCAAGGCAAAGAAGCTCAATGTGCAGAAATGAACCAGATCTCAGAAAATCCACAGAGGCCACTTTAGAAAAAGCCATGTGGCCTGAAATATACCAACAGACCCAGAGGAGCTTTTCCTGATATAGAGATTTTGTCACCAGCACAGTCTGAGCAAATCATGAGGAAGTCACTGACTCAGGCTATATTCCTGGGGTGCAATTCTGGGCCCTGGGTTCAGATGGCTTCATTATGTAGCTGGGTAAATGTGCAGATGTGCTCAAGAACCAGAGACAGTCCCCATTAACTCTTGATGGGAGCACCTTCAGAGCTCTATATCCAGGCCCAGACAGTTCCAGATCAATGAAGCTGACTCAGGTTGTCCCTCATTTAAAGACCTATGTATACACTTCCTGAGAAATGTCTTGTCTTAATGGGGAAAGTTTCCTGGAAAAGCCAGACATGCTCAATGAGTCTGAGACCATATTCGAAGAAGCTACTTCTTCAGGCAGTTCCCAGGGGTACTCAGAGCGTCTCCCTTCCCACCCTGCACCCAGCAGAGGGTCGCAGATAAGAAATATTATTGTGTGCTCAAATGTGTCCCCAGTCTATGTTCTGCTCATATGGACCTGCCCCTGTGCTGACTCTCTGTTTCTGGTTTGCCTGTCTAATCCCAAGATGGGGGTCTTCATGTTCTCTCCTTCTGGAGGTTCAATGAGTTCACATACAGATGAAAACAGCTGGGAGCTGAGAGATGAACAATAAGCAAGGACTGAGTTGGGCTAGGCTGAGAGGTGCCTGGCTCATGAGTTGGGTGGGAGATAACTCTTCCTCTTGGCCTCCTGAAGGAGGTTGACATTGGGTATGAGAGCAGCTGTGGGATGGGCTTGCTGGAGCCTGAGGACAGAATCTGGGCTATGTTTATTTGGGGTTCCTTAAGTCCCCCAGTGATATTTCAGTCAGAAATGAGAACAAAGTCTAGAGTAGACTTCAGATTAGAGGCTTGCAGGCTACTCTTGACCTATAGATGTATACTCTGATTCGCATGACATTTTAAATTAGTTGGCAATATAGAAAAATAAATACTTTTAAATCTTTAATTCAAGACTTTTTGTGAAAAATAGGACTATCTAGCATTATGCAGCTCATACAGGCAGTCAACTGGAATTGAATAATAATTGCCACCATTAGGATGCATTCAATGTGCAGAGTATCAGAAGCAGCATCCCTAGGGATGCACTGTGTCTGCAGGCAGTCAGAAGGACCCACTGGAGACAGGAAAAGGGTCTCGTTCAGATAAGCCAGGCTTGGATCAGGGCAGGAATGGTCTAAGGCTAGCAGAAGGAGGCAATTGTTTGCCTCCATTCTCTGCCTCTAGGCCATGAGTCATTCCTGCTCCTAATACCAGAAGCCAAGAGCCCTGCAGCTTAGGATATCTCTGCCAATTTGAACAGGTCTCTGCCTGCCCCCAGTTCAGAGGACATGTAAATACTCTAAGCTGTAGATGGCATTACATCAGTGCTGTGATACAAGAATCAAGTGTCTATACAGATAGCATCAAGCAGATTTCAGGAAAGCAATAGCATGTGCAAAAACTTGAGATGCTCAAGTGTGTCCCATGTCTTAAACAAACAATGTGTCAAGAAATTTTACATTTGAAAGATTGAGAGAACACAATGAAACCTTATGGGCACAAAAATAACTTGGTCAAGCTCAGGAAGATCTTAAAACCCAAAAGTGGCAAATAAAGAGCTACCATATTTCCAAATATACCAGGTCACAACATCCACCTCTATGTATGGTACATGCAAATTATCTCAACTCATTATACACAAGAAAGAAGATCTAGAATAAACAGATACAAAGGGTAATTGATCTTAAGACTTTTTAAAAAGTCTAAAATGCCATCCAGGGGGTAATGCCAGACACTCTCCATGTGGTGCTGGGCACCTACATCAGACTCCTTGACACAGAGACTCTGAGGATGGAGCAGAAACACAGCCAAAGAGAGATGTAGAACAGTCCAGAAGAGAAGCCAGGGCAGCCAGGCAGATAACTCAGGCACTACAATGCATTCATTCTCTGACTTCTGATTATGTGATTACTCACCAGACACCACGTTCCTGAAATATCAACCTTCTGACATTTTTCTCACGTGTTCCCTTCTGCACTCAAATTTTTGTGGTTTCTTTTTGGATTATTCACAACACTCCATCATCTTCCTCCCTTATCCTTTCCATCTCAAAACCACACTTGTGCAGACTTGAAAATATAATCTAGTGCGATGTTTTATGCACTCTTCATGAAAATGCTCCCTTGACATTTTAGATTTTTCCCATCACACTATTTTCCTTCCTGAGTCTTCAAAAGAAACATTCATGACAACAACAACAAAAGAATTGACTCCTATTGCTACTCAGATTTTCAGGGAATATTGTAAACAAGAGAAATGACATATGAATCTAAAAAGAAAGCCAAATAGAGCCAACAACAGGGTAACTTATTAATCAGTTATGAAAAGATAAACTAACAACAATCTCTGAGTTGTTAACACAGTTTTTATGAAGACATATGCATAAAAATACTGACCCCCCCCCCTTTTTTTTTCTTTAAGTTCTTCAAATGAAACTCTGGAATTAAGGCGTTTTATTTTAAGACCAAAGGTAAAATGCAAAGCCTATATTTATTACTATACTGTCAAGAAACATTTTAATTTTAGGCTGATCACAACAATAAAAAAATGTTGGAGCTTGAGGGAAAGTTTATAAGCAGTTATCTAATTGAATCCACTCATTTTAAAGGAATGATTTTTGTTCTTTGAAGAAATGGTTGGCACCTTTTATATGCCAAGTACCATTTGGGAGTTACAAAGCATATACACATAAACTTCAGGAATGGTTTAATTAAAAAAAAATAATAACTGAAAATTCAAGAATAATTTAAGTTAATGTTAATAGTTTAATTTAAAAATCTCAGGCTGGGGATGTGGCTCAAGCGGTAGCGAGCTTGCCTGGCATGCGTGTGGCCCGGGTTCGATCCTCAGCACTACATACAAAAAACAAAGATGGTGTGTCCGCCAAGAACTAAAAAATAAATATTAATATTCTCTCTCTTTCTCTTTAAAAAAAAACAAAAAATAAAAAATAAAAATCTAATTAGCATCTAAAGTTGAGCCCCTAAAGTTGTAATAACTTCAGCTCATTTTACAATAAAGTAAACCTATTCAGGAAAAGAATGGTTACATCAAATATGATAGTTTCACTAAAAAAAATCATATTGTAAATGACAGTAACAATGACTATACAGCAAAAGTTTTAAAATGGAAAAAAGTCACCATATTCTATTAATCACACAAAACCTGAGAGCAGAATTGTATCCCTGTATGATCATGGCTTTGTAAATTATGTGAACGCATAATGAACACATCCAAAAGAAAAGAAGGAAAGGACATTATTTGAACATTAGGGAAGCAGCTAATTTTTTTTTCATTTTGATGCCTATTAAATTATATTAAGATGCTCTTCATGTAATGATTTGTATCGAAGAAAACCACAGAGTGAGAGGGAGTAAAATGAGAGTGGCAAAAGAGCAGAAAATAAGCTGACAAATTGACATTCTAAAACCCAGGTGCCACTAGCAGTCAAACTGTGGTTCCTGTGATAAGAGCAGGGTGACACAGCCAGTGGAGCTCTCAGCACCAGGCCTAGAGAAAGTGTGGCCTAGGAATCTGTCTAACCAGCTCAGCAGGTTATTCCTCTCAGGCTGGCCCTTCTCCACCCTCACTCTCGGGCTGGTTTCACCTGCTGTCTAAACACTGCACACTGAGCAGCCAGTTCTACCTCCAGGCGGGCTGGGAAAGTAAGCAGAGCACAGAAGGGGGCTTTAACACAGGAGCTGATTCAAGCCCAGTGCCCTTCCACCCCACCTGACCTTACCTGTTGAAGCATTTCTTCAGCAGCATTGAGTTTCACCTGGTGTCCTTCCAGACACACTTCTAAGTCCCGAATCTTCTCTCCTTGGGCTTCCACTTGGTCTGTGAGAACACTCACCTGTTCCAGGAAATAAAGCACCAAACAGTAGAGTGGCAGGGACTGTATGAGAGCAAAGTTTCCCCACTGAGTATGAGCAGTGAAAGTGCAACACTGACTCATGTGTGAGGAGGAACAGCTTTTCTCTTAGGTGAGTAGAAGGTGGGGGAAGTGTCCTGGATGAAGGCAACACTAGTTCTTACCTTACCAGGTAGTCTTGGTCAATGCCCAAACGATGTTGGTCACATTCCTGCTCTTGACAGACTCCAGAGAAAAGCACCCAACAGCCAGGAGAGCTGCCTCTAGGTTGGACTCCTGTTCCTGATTCCTCTAACAGAGCAGTGCGACCTCAAGGCATATCTCAGCTGGCTTGCCAGAGCTTCTGCCACCTCATGTGGAAGAGCAATCCAAACCTCTATGGAAACCAACCAATGACCTAACCTCTCTCATAAGGGTGTGAGGACTACTCACCTATCAGGCAAGTGTTTTGAAGTAATTAAGGAATGTGGGACACAAAGGGCATGTATTAGCACTGACAAAACTTGGCTCCAGAGAGGTTTTTGTGCTTCACAGGCCAAAACATGACTTTAAGTCATTCATATACAGAAGCCACACTGCACATATGTGGTAGAAAAGAGTCATTTTTCTGAGGAACCCTGAGATTCTCTATGGAAAACATTAATAAAAACCCACTTATAATAAGTTATTTAAATTATGCCCTAAATACATACTGTGAGGGTTTTCATAGTCTTCTCTTTCTTTTCCTTTCTTCCTTTCTTTCTTTCTTTCATTAGGAGATACCCCAAATCAGGAAGATGAATAAGAGAATAGGTGGCCTCCCAAAAGCAAAGAAATCAATAGTTGGTAATACTTTTTGGGTGGAGTCATTGTTGTTCACAAATAGATTATTCTAAATTATTTCTCAATCTATAATGGAATGATAGATGGAGCATGAAAGAGATAATGTGAGTTAATTTATGAGTATTTAAATAAACTGTACGACTTAGAAAGTTTCCATTTAAAAAGAAATGAATCTAAACTAACAGGCTTTAACCCTTCCATGTTTATGTTCCCAAATAATGAATGAATTATTGGAACATATTCCTGACATTGATGCATGGTTTGCTAATATTTCAATTTTAATTAAAAAATTGGGCTCCTTCTGTCAACTAGACCCATCTTAAACAATAAACCTTTTTTGTGTTTTTGTGCTTGTTTTTTATCCTTGTTCAATACTGTTGGTACCCATTTCAACTACTAATTCCACTTTCAAAAGAGCAGGATTCTGGGGGATTGGTTCTGCTTTCTGGGACTCAAGAGTTCTCGTTTAGAAAGGATGTTTTATGGTTAATCCCATTATGAGGATTAACACCTATATGTCTACACTATGCCTTGGGGCCATGTGCTAGTGATACCCTGAGGAATAATATATAGTCTTCAGAATTCTATAGCTCATGGTTCAGCTGCACATAAGACTAAAGGGATCTCGAGACTTCTACACGTATTATGAATGGTGAGGTGTAGAAAATAAACACAAAACACATAAAGATCCTACAATGTAACCTTCATTCAATAAAGACAAATATATTTTGAACCCTTTCTACATACTGGGCATAATATTAGGTAAAGAGGGATACAAAAGGGGGTGAGGGGATGAAAATCTTTGCCTTAAAGGAATTATACTATAATTTAGACAAAGATTTTTATTTTGCTTTTCATTAATCCTAGAAGCAAACTATTTTGTTATGTATGTTTGTCTTGTGTTCTATGAATAGAAAAATAAATAGGAACACATCCTGTACCAAGGACTCAAATTAATTCAGTCTGGCTAAACTGCTGTGGGAGTTAAGCAAGAGGCTATACCCCACTGAGGATCTGTCTAACCAACTCCAGAGGCCCCCAAGGAACAGGAACAGGAGCGAGCATGTAAAAGCTGCTTTGAGAGTCTGTCTACAAGCTTGCCTAGAAACCACTGGGGTCAACTTCTGCTTCCTGGTAAGTAGCTTCCCAACTGTGTTAAGATTATCTAAACAGGGATTATTCAAGAATTTGAAATTTAAAAAAAAAATGAATGTAACAGCATTTTGACACAGGACTTCTTTATTAAATTATAATCCTCTCTAAATAGAAACGTGTTATTTCAATCACAAAGAGTCCCAGTTCAAAAGTTTGCAATTTCATACTATTTACTACAAAATTCTAAATTGAATACTTCTTTATTAATCATGTCATTAGGAGGGAGTTTCAAAGTAGACATTCTTTAAAACATCTGTGCAGTAAAATCTGGCCATGCTACTCTCAGGTGGCTCCCTACTTCTTCAAAGTAGGGACTGTAGACATGATGGCCCTTGCTGTTCTTTCTGCACACTAAGCATGCTCCTGCCTCAGTGTGTGGGCTGGACTGACTACTGCCTCTGCTGGAATGTTCTTCTCCAAGTATCAGCACAGCTCCCCTCTTAGCTTCCTCCTGACACGGAGACCTTCCCTAACTTCCTTATCTGGCTTCACTTTCCTCCTGAATACTTATCGCCACCAGAAATATTTTATTTATTGGTTTGTTTATTACTGTCCTCTCCCTACCCCATCCTACTCCCTGCCTCTCTCTCTTTCTCTACAAGAATAGGGACTTGATCTATTTTGTTCACTGTTGTATACCCAGCACCTAAAACCAGTATCTGACAGATGAGTTGTAGATACTCAATTATTTTATAATGAATGAGTGATTTTAAAATCATTGAAGTAAAAAGAACAAAAGTAGGGTGCAAATCTCCTCCTCTATTCCACCGTCAGTTTTATTCATCACCCTTCAAGCTTTTTAAGGAGCTATGATTAGGATATTAATCTTTATATTCTCCAATTGTCAATTAACATCTGATGTATACCAGACCTCAAACCTTGCTAAATTGATTTATGTATTTGAGGCTAACACAGCAGAGTTCCTGCTTCAGTAATAGCCTTCCTGTGAGAATGTCTAACTTCCTATAGTACCAACACAGGTTTTCAGAAGTGAAAAAGCTTCTTTGGCTCACTTTCTCTATGGGAAGTTTAGGAGTTCCTCTGTTTGAAGCAAGAAAGCCATCAAAGGCTTAGCCCATGTTACCAGCTCCAGGGGATTTGGCATCAATGTGATCAGTCTAGATTTAGCTTCAGACACTTTGGACTTGATTCCGTTAGCGTTTACTCTGAGGCCTGCATCACTCAGAGACATTTTATTAGTGATTTGAAGATGATCTCATCTCCCTTACAAGACTGTGATCCTGAGGACAGGACCCATTTTGTTCATTCTTAGCACCAGGTCATCAGCCTGGCCACAAGGCTTCAAGTGTGTAGAGGCAGGTGCTTAGTGGTGTATAATATAAATGAATGAATCACAGTCCTCCAAAGTCAAGTAAGCTAAATTGTGTTACTTTCTGCTTTTAGAAAAAGCCTGTTTGAAAAACATACACTCTGGGAGCAGGAATACTCCAACAGAGAAAGCCCCTATCGCTTGGGGAAGATACAGAGCTACAGGTAACAGGTAAACTGGTTTCCATCCAAAAGCACCCACCTGTAATATGAGGGACTCCTTATCTCCTTCTAGACGTGCCAAGCGTTCCTGGTAGGTTTCATTACTAGCAGCACCATGGTGATTTGCCTGGGACTAAAGAGAGGGGAAAGAATACAATTACAAAGCTAGAAAAACACTACCTGCTTTCAAATGGAGTGTGTAGTGTATGCAATTTGTGAAGACAGTTTCATTGATTATATGTGCAAAACCATCTACCAAAACAGGAAGCCACAGATTACAAAACTACTACAAGGAAGATCAGACCACATGCCACTGAAAGGTGTGTTCCTTGGAAGTGGTGCAACCACCCTGATGACCTCACCCTTGGCCTGGAGGCCTCCACAAAGCTCCAGGCCAGCAGTGCTTGGCTTGACTGGACATGCTGGGTCTGGTTCAGCTAAAGGCACAGCCTGCCAGAGTCAAAGCAACAATGAGGGTCTATTCTTTTTTAGGTTGGTACTGGAGATTGAACCCTGGAGTACTTTACCACTGAGCTGCATCCCCAGCCCCTTTTATTTTTTGAGACAGGGTTTCACTAAGTTGCTTAAGGCCTTGCTAATTTGCTGAAGTTGGCCTTGGACTTGTGATCCTCCTGCCTCAGCCTCCAGAGTGGCTGGGATTACAGGAATTGCCACTGCATCCATTGAGGGTCTGCTCTTTGAGACCAAGGGAGTTGGTACCATTCATTAAGGAACTGTGTGGGAACAACTCCTACACAGATCTTGGCAATTTTCACAGCAAGATTCTTCAGAGACCATGCACACCTTGCAGCATGGAGGCCCATCCTGAACATCATTCTACATACATATCCCTTCCCACCGAAATTCTAACCCTGATTAAGACTTTGGCAGCCAGGTTGGCATACTATATTTCTGTAGCATAGAAAGAGAGAGAAGCAAGCTACATAGAAACATCTTGAGTAGAACCTAAATAAGAGATAGAGGATCTTAAAGAGCTAAGCAGAGGGAAAATACAGGAAATACAAATAGCCAAAAATTACAGAAAACAGAGGAAAGGGAGAGAATGTAAAATGGCAGAGTAGAGACAGAATCTTATAAAATGTTCTGAGCATAGAGATATAGGAGCTGTCACTTTCTAGGGTGTGTCTGACCTGGTTATAGGTAGGGAGGAGAGAAGGAGCTGCTAATGGCATTGAACTGGCCCCAATACCACCAGTGGACACTTCCTCCATATCAAATGACAGGCTGAAGCCAGGGGCCTACAATAGGCCATTTAGTGGGTTGATAGTCTGAAAAAGTAGATGTCATTGCTAAATGTGGAAGTTATTATCCTCATAATCTGGGCTGGTCCATGACATCAATGCTCCAATATTCATGAAGCAGGTATTTTCTACCCCAGAGGAAAGACAATATTATGCAAATAGGCAAGACAGAGAGGCCCAGGGTTGGCCCACCTTGTCCTGGCATATTTCTCTGCATTTCAACATTGCAAGTGGGCTTTCCAACCTCTCTCTCGGTGAGAAAGAACCCCTCCTTCCTCCTGTCATCTTACCCCTCCCCAAGATACTACCTAGCTGAGATAAGGTGGCAGAGTCATTCTCAGTTCTAGAGCAGAAATAGGGACCAACCATTCCACATTCAAGCCCTGGTATCTCACTAATGAGAGAAGCATTGGATGTTTGTTGAAGAAACTGTGGGAGGCTGAGCCCAGGAGCGCTTCCCAGGGCACCTGTGCCAGGCACTGTCTAGATGGCACATGGCGCACGGCGCCTGCTGCCACACCACTGCCTTTTATTCCTGCCTTGCTGAAGCTTGAGTTTTGTCCATTGTTATAGAAGTTCTTTCATGCCCCAGACAAAGCGCCTTAACAATCACAAATGACTTCTTTTTTGCCAAGGGCAGTTTATTGTTTTGACATTAATTAATATTTCAGGAACTCTAACATGGCCAAATTTTCTGCCTAGCATCCAAGGATACAGCATAACTTATATTATCTCAGAACCTGACAAGGAAAAATAGGAAATTCTTAATAGCAGGGGAAATCCTCTGTTAAAGAATTCACAATGATGGACTGGGATTGTGGCTCAGTGGTATAGCACTTGCCTAGCATGTGTGAGACCCTTATTTCGATCCTTACACCACATAAAAATAATAAAATAATAAAGGTATTGTGTCCATCTAAAACTAAAAAAATATCACTATGATGATTTTTAGTGGGCAGAAATTCAGCCATTTGTAATAACTGACCTCCAACTGACACTCTGCACATCAGACCCCAGGGCCAAAGTCAGCATGTTCATGGATCACCCAGCACTGTGGTATAACTTGTCCAGTAGGAAATGGGGAGAAGGCAAAAGGGTAGATCCTTCTACAAGACTCCAGCAAGCCACCACACCCACTGTGCTGTATTCAAGTGGCTTGCAATATGCTCCTTTAGTGAATACTTATAATTTTATATTGTCTTGGCAATATAAAACAGAAATATAAAATATAAATACATGTTGAACTTTTTCACACCAGAAGCAGGGTTCAGTCACCCTTAATACGGTTCCCAATAATATATTCCAACAGAATGGCTCCAGCTAGATCAGAGACAACTCAGAAGCATCTCTTCTGTTTATCAGGCTGGAAGGAATGGTCCTTTCCTTTAAAGGGACCATTAGACATATGCCTGCAATTAAAGTAACCACCTCTCAGTCACTTCTTGAACCTTCTGCCTGTTTCTTTAAACTCACTAATTAAAGTTCCCCATGGAAAATCAGTTTGGATAGCACTCTGTGTGCAATATGAAAGTAGGGGTTCACAAGTCATCTCTCTTTCCCTGCTTTTCCCCCCTGACCTCCATGTGTGTGGAGGCAGCTGGAACAGTAGCTACTACCTGAACTGATAATAAAACTCATTCAAAACAGTCCCTCATTATAATAAAAGGTCAACCCATCCAGACTTCCAGAAGGTCAGCCATTTGTAATAACTGACCCCCAAATAAGGTTAAGAAAGCAAGTTAGAATCATCAGTTAAAAGGCAAAATGTATGCCCCAAAATTCATATCATATGCTAGAAATGGATCAAAAATCTGGATTCACTCTAGTGCCAATAGAAGAGAACATGGTCAGTTAAAAGACACATGGATCAGTAAAGGAAAATCAAACTGCTTAGGAGAGACAACTTATTCCTGGGCAAGAGAGAAACCACTTCTGTTATCAAAACAAACTGGATCCACAACTTCCATGAGGACACCTTTAAAGTAAACACAGCCTAGTAAAAAGCATTGCTTTTGTGTGATGCTCACAAAATATGTCTAAGGCTGATGGATAAGAGGGACTAAAGTAATTCTAAGAAACCCATATGGTATGGTGCAAGCACAGTGCTTTCAATGGACAGCAAGTACTTACGTAGCACCCAAGACTTGCCAGGCACTGATGAGAGCACTATGTGCATTAAGTCACTTAATCCTTCCCATGACTTCATGAGATGGATGCCATTTTTATTCCTATTTTACAAATAAAGGAACTAAGGCACAAAGTATTTTAACAAGACACAAGTGGACAATTTGCCCAGATTACTATATAGCAAATTAGTATGCTTTCTGTTGTTACAGGTTAATTGAGGAGCAGATCAAGTATAAATTTTGTTTTATATATTCTAATTATAGGATTACTCACTTAAGGTGGAAAATGTCTTTAATGGGAGAGCGGCTATATAAACAATGGTTCATCCATAATCTGAACAATTTGTATTATTTTAAAACATGAGATAGGTACTTAGAGACATTGAATAATAAAAAAAGATGTAAAAAAAATCACGTGGCATCATACCAGAAAATATAACCCAAAGTTATTTACATATCTATAAAAATAAATAGAAAAGGTATCCAAAATGTCACCTGGTGGTCTTTTAATAGTGCCATCTTCTGGAGAAGAGTCTGGGGTATAGAAAGTGAAATTGGGAGGTATGATCAAGGAAACATTACTTTAACCATAGTGTCTTAAAAAAATATTTTTTCTTGAGTATTTAAGATACATTTTAAAATCTAGAAGCACTGCTCAAGGAATTAGGACAGTGACGCTTGTATTTTCTTTTCCTAATAGACTCAAGGGTATGATCCTCTCCCAGTAGTTATACCGGTCCATTGGGCAGTGGTACTCAAGGCAGAGCGGTACTCAAGAGCAGCGCTCTTCTCACAAAACTTGTTATCCAGCAAGCTTCTATTCGGTATTAAACAGCATTGAAATAGAGATGGCATTCCAGACAGAATTTTACAGTGTTGCCATCCTTGTGTTTTGGTGAGGTACAGAGCCATGTTTTCACTGTCTAGATAGGACTTACTTCTTAAGAAAATTTCAGCCTCTCAGAAGAGAACAGGTTAGGGTAAAATGCCATCTCCACCTGGAGAAGAGCTGGGAAAGCACTTGAGAAGAGGGCCAAGAAGAGGATTTTTAAGAATGATCTTCTTGGGCTGGAGTTGTGGCTCAGTGGTAGAGTACTGACCTAGCATGTGTGAGGCACTGGGTTCGATCCTCAGCACCACATATAAATAAATAAAATAAAGGTTCATGGACAACTTTAAAAAAAATAAAGTAAAAGCCTTTAAAAAAAAAAGAATGATCTTCTGAATGCCAATATTCTTTAGCCAAAGGTGAGGATTTGAGTTTGGGTAAAGAAACTTATACTCCTTAGCCTAAATAGCCAACACATTCAATCACTTTATGATGTCATCCTTGCTCTATCAAATGGCTGCATTATCAGGGCATAATAGCCACATAGTAATCAAAATGTGATTTCAATTTGTTGGGAAACATTTTAAGAAACAGAGTTAAGACACAGCTCTGTTTTGCTCTACTTTGTCAGAAGGTACATCTGCTCTCTTAATTCAAATAGTGGAATTACAGTGGAAGTCTTAGATCAACACTGAGGTCACATATCTAAGTTCCTGAGTGATTCCAGGTTTGGACAGTTTCTGAAAAAATCTTGTAACTCTCAGGTAACTCAGTGATAGAGCAATAGCCTAGTTCCTCATACATGAATGAAGAAGAAGGAAATCAAATAAATTCTAAAGAATGCTATAAGCCAACTCTATTTCTCCCCTCTATGGGATGGCAGGTGAACTTTAAAAAGAATTTTACCTTTTCTACC